TAGGCAAGGAAAGGCAGGGTAATGTTTGGGTAGTTTGGGTAATTCCAGTGGGCTCCGGGGCATAGGGGCTGTCCCTAGTTGTCTAGTACCTGGCTTTGGGATGATCTAAGTCAAGGGAAATATTAGCTTGGTATATGAGTTAGATAAAGAAGTGTCAGGGGGGTATGGACTCAGGATTGGTTGGTTTGTGCATAAAAGGTGGGCTCACCAACAGGTTGTTTACTGTCTCTAGGAATTAGCTAGCCCTGGGTGGGGCAGTCTTTTCCCAGCCAGCAAGGCTCCCCAAAGATGTTTAAACATCATAAAATATAGAAAAGTTAAAATATGATTAATACAGGGTGCCTGGCTGGCTCAATTGGTAGAGCATGTGACTCTTGATCTCAGGGTTGTAAGTTCAACCCCCAAATTGAGTGTAGATATTACTTAAAAAATCTTAGGGCACCTGGTGGCTCAGTCAGTTAAGCATCTGACTTCAGTTCAGGTCATGATTTTGTCATTTGTGGGCTCAAGCCCCACATTAGGCTCTCTGCTGTCAGCACAGAGCCTGCTTTGGATTCTCTCTCTCTCTCTCTCTCTCTCTCCCTCTCTCTCTCTCTCTCCACCCTTCCCCTGCTCATGCTCATTCTCCCTCAAAAATAAATAAAGGTTTAAAAAATAAATAAATCAAATCTTAAAAAATATATGATTAATACAAAGATATCTCTGGCTGATGCTACAAGTCAAAATGTTGGCCCACATTCAAAGGTTTGACTGGGGCTGGAGCCACTTTCCAGGTCTCTCACTCACATGCCTGGCATGTTGGTGCTGGCTACTAGTGGCAGGACTTAGTTCCTCCCATGTGGGCCTCTCCACAGGGCTGTTGAGTGTCCTCACACCATGGTGGTTAATTTCCCCCAGAGCAAGTAATCTAAGAGAGCAAGGTAACAGCAACAATGGTTTTCATGACCTACCCTCAGAAGTCACTCTTTGAAATGAGTCACTAAGTCTAGCCTACATTCAAGGTTGTGGGGATGAATTTCCACCTTTTCAAAAGGAGGGTGTCAAAAAAATTTACAGACATATTTTAAGGCCACCAGACCATTCCTGACTGCAAGGGAGTCTGGAAAGGCAAAAGAGAACAGGATTGTTGTGACTAGCTTAGACTAATCATGATTGACTCATAGCCTGGGATACAATCCCACCCCAGACAAAAATCAGGGTTCAGTTAATGAGGAAAGAGAGGGAAGGCTGGTGGGGAAGCATTTTATCTGCCACAATGGTGATGATAAAGATGAAGGGGACTAAGGTTTCCAGGTATCCTGATATTGCATGAGATATATTCCTACTAAAACATTATTTGTTGCTTATATGAAAGTCAGTTTTGTTGTTTTTTTTTTAAAGAGAGAGAGAGAGTCTCAAGCATGCTCTGCACTCAGTGGCATGGAACCAGATGCAGGGCTCAATCCCACAACCCTGGGATTGTGACCTGAGCCAAAATCGAGAGTCAGACACTCAACCAACCAAACCACCCAGGTGCCCTTCTGAAAGTCAAATTTAACTGGTGTCTTCTATTTTCATTTGCTAAAAATCTAGCTCCCATGGTGGGAAATAAGTCTTCAATGGTCATGGAAGGAAGCCAGTGAGGAGGTGGCACTTCTTAGGAAGGAGGAGCTAAAGGAAGCCTGGGGGTGCCTGGAAGAGGAACAGATGTTTCAAAGCCTAGGGTAGGTTCCTTTTGGTGGGGGAGAGCAGGAGGGTGAGGTTGAGGCTTTCTGTGGTCCCAGTCTTTCTCTCCTCTGCTCCCAGGCCACCACCGCATCCACCCAACACCAACACCAACACCCCCAACACCACCATTTCCTCCATTTTGATCTCAAAAGATATCCAGGAAGCTCTAGCTAGAGGTATCTCTCTTTTCAACACCCTGAAAAACCAACTCATAAAGCCGAAGTAGGGGCTGCGGGCAGCGTGGCAAAGTGCATGAGTGGTGTGAGAACTTGGAGCCTCACTGTGTGACCTCAAGCAAGGCCTTCCCCTCTCTGGGCTTCCCTTTCCTTGGCTGTATAATGATGGTTGGTCTAAATTGTCTCCAAGGGCCCTTTTACTTGGCCTACGTGTCTCCTTCCCAAAAAGGAACAAAAAGACATGGGTGGTTTCTCTCGTCCCGTCTCCAAGCCAAATTCAGACGAAAATGTCCAGGGTGACATAGATTTAATATAAACAGTGGTGCACTGATACTCACAAATACCCCAAAAGGAGTCCCAGATGAGCTATTTTTATCCTTAAAACACACACACACACATACTCACTCCAACCCCCATCACCCCCACCCATAAATTCTTCCAGTTGGTTTTTACAAGAAGACAAGAGTTCCAGTTAAGAGTGCTAATTAAACAGCTCTGACTGTGGGCAGAAGGGAGGCTGGCGAAAATCTTCTCTCTGGGCATGATGTCATCATAATTGTGCATTTCTCATGACCCAAGAATGTGAGTGTGTTTGCACTGCACGTTGAAGCCAGTGATGCAAGTGTGGCCTGGTAAACAGGCCCCAGACAGGCAGGCCCTGCAAGAAGCCGCCGTGCAGAGGCCTGGCGGAGGCCCAGGTTGCTCTTAACTCCTTCCTGGCAGAACTGGCTGGTGGGCTGCTGAGGTTTGGCTAGGGAGCCTTCTCTACTCAGCCCTTGCTTCTCTCCCAGCCAGGGTCCCTGCTGGTGACAAGCTCTGAATATGGAGTCACTGAGACCTGCATTCTACCCACCTGCACCATTTGCTTGCTCGAGGGCCTGGGGTATGTGACTCCTCTGCCCTGAGCCTCAGTTTTCTCATCTGAGAAAATGGGGAGATGAATCAGGGCTTCAGTCCCTTGTCTTCAACTCTACAGTCCACAAAGCCCAAATATCCAAGGGCTTTTCCATATATTTGAAGAAAACTCGTGTGGAGGCCAAACCTGGGGCCCCACTTAGACTCAATACTTAAACTTCTCACTACAGCAATATTCATATATTTGATTGGAGATGGGTGGGCCCAGTCCCCACCAGATTAAAAAAAAATTTTTAATGTTTATTTATTTTCGAGAGAGAGAGAGAAACAGAGTGCGAGGAGGGGAGGGGCAGAGAGAGAGGGAGACACAGAATCCAAGGCAGGCTCCAGGCTCTGAGCTGTCAGCACAGAGCCCGATGCAGGGCTTGAACTCATGAACTGTGAGATCATGACCTGAGTCAAGTCAGACGCTTAACTGACTGAGCCACCCAGGCGCCCCCCAGCTCACCTTTAAAAACCCCCAAAATTCTGAGTTCTGAAACCTGACCAGCCCCAAGAGTGTTGATCAGGGGTTGTAGGCCTGGGGCACCTGCCTTTTGTTCACTGGGAGACGTACTAAGACACTGCCTTCTGCTGAAAAGTCCTCCCTGAGCACAGGGCTTAGCTCTGTGTCAGCTGTGTCCCAAGCTGCCAGCTCAGTGCCTGGAACACAGCAGTCACCCAACCAACAGCTATTGAATCAATAGCTGAAGTTACTCATACCCCATAAATGCCAGGGTGTTGATCAAGGGGAAACTGAGGCCCGAGCCTCTGAGACAGCCTTCCCTGGATCCTTTCCCACAGAGGGAGTTCTGACTTTCCCCAAAAAAGGTAGCTGCTCACATTTCTGTGTTGGCCTGCTCACAAACAGCTTGGTGACCCCCCTCCGACATTCCAGAGCAGCCTCCTCCCCGGCTGGCTGGTTTGCGGGCATCAACGAGTTTTCTTTGGCAGAAGGTTCAACTGATTGGGAAAAAAAAAAAAAAAAAACAGGGCGGGGGGGGGGGGGGGGGGGGGGGGACAAGTTGAAATCTGGAGGTGGGGAAGGGGTGGTCACAGGGTAGAGTGGGGGCTTCTGGGGAAGCTGAGATCTGCCAGCTGGCCTGAGACTGTGGACCAGATTCTGGGACCCTTCTGAGGACTGTGACTGTGTCAGTAAGCTCCTGTCTTAATCCTAGAACTGGAGAATTACCCAGACCTGTGCAGAGCTGCCAGGATGGAAAAGGCCTCCCTGGTGTGGTCTGACCTATTCCCAGCTGCTGTGGAGCCCCGAGTAACTCCCTTTTCCTCTCTGGGTCTTTGCATGATAAGGTTGGAGAATCAAGCAAAACAAAGCTGACATTATAGACACAGACTTGAGTCCAGGCCCAGGCTCTTCCTCTGATTGGACAGGAGTTAGAGCCAGTCACTTTCCTTCTCTGAGCCTCAGTCACCTCATCTGTAAAATGGCACTGAGTTATAGGGATTGTGTCCTGATGAATGTGTTTGGCACATAGTAGTGATAAAGGAATGTTAGTAAATTACCCTTGGCCTGGATAGCCCTCCTGATCTGATGTTCTATGTTAGGCACTAAGCACAGTAATAACCTCATTGTCTGAGCACCCACTATGTTCCAGGCACTGTGCTAAGTGATTTACAAGCATTATTTTTTTCCATCCTCCCAATATCTCTCAAATGGGTACCAGCACTATCCCCATTTGTGAGAGGAGAAGATAAGGTTCTGGAAAGTGAAGTGACTCTCCCAAGGCTGCACAGTTAGTGAGAAGCAGAGCTGGATCTTCTGGACTCTAAACACTTCATACCAGGCTTCAAGAAAGATCTAGCAGCTAATTCTGTGCTTAGCTCCTTGAAGCAAGAGATTCCAAGCCCAGCTGGGCCACACCCTGATGTAACATATGACCAGTGCAGGGGTCTCAGTTCCCCTATTGGAACCATGGGGAAGATCCTCCTTACTCTGCAGCGCTGAGGTAAGGATGCTGGTGACCTTGAGAAGGATTTGCAAGCTATGAGATAGGACAGGCACTCTCAAAGGCTCAGAAATGGGGGACCAAGGGAAAGAATTAATCCTTTCTAGTCTCCCTAGCAAGTATCAGATCAGCCATGGAGAGGGTGGAGTAGGGAAAGTGAGTGAGGGATAGTTGCATTGGAAAGGCTCTGGGTTAAGGGAACTACTCAGAAGCTAAGAAGTGAAGAAGTGGTCCCAGCTCTCCCCTAGGACCTGACCTTCACCACAGTCTGTCCGTCCATTAAGAGTTGGGCAGAACTGCCTCTAGAGTCCAGTGGATCAGAGTTCAAGTCTCAGTGCCACCCATCTCCACTGGGCATCCTTTGGACTTCCCCTCTCTTCATGTCAGTCTTCCCAACTGTGAAATGGAGGTGATAACAAGAGCCTCATCAGGACTGTAGTGAAGACAAGCCTTGCCCAAGGATATTGGTTGAATAATTATCTCCTGGCACCTGGTCTGCAAGGCTTCTAGTCTGGAAGGAGAGACTATATATAAAGTGTCTGGCACAGGTAGGTGCCCACTGGATGGATGGAAGGAAAGAAGGAAGCAAGGAAGGAAGGAAGGAAGGAAGGAAGGAAGGAAGGAAGGAGAAAAGGTAGGAAGGAGAGGGAAAAAGAGGGAAGGGGAGGGGAGGGAGGAAGGAAGGAAGGTATGGATGGATGTGATGAGTATCTTACTCTAAGTCATACAGTCTGGAAGTAACTATTCCTGACCTCACACTGGGCACCAACGAAAGCATAAGAGTTGGTTAGAGAGAGGCACTCCCTGAGCAAAGGTTTGGAATTAGGAATTATTACAGCATGGATAAGACACTGGTTTCACTTGCTCAACAGGATCCTATGAGGAAGGGGATCTGATTACAGGCTCTCCCAGAGTCCTTTGGGGCAAACCCAGCAGTTTGTACGGGGAGTAAGGCCCCACGGCCCAGAGGAGCAGGCAGGAGCAAGCCCAGCCTGGGGGTCAGGCCTCAGAGGGCCTGGTATGGCCATATTTGGTTTTCAAGGAACTGGGAGGCTTCTTACCAGCTCTGCTGCCCACGCATGGGAGTAAGGCCACCCACAGTTGCTGAGTCAGGCAGACAGCTGGGGTCGGGAGCAGAGGCCCCACAAACAGGCGACTGTAGCACAGTTGTCCAGAGCCTGGCCTCTAGAGTCAAGAAGATGTGGATTCAAATCCTGCCTGACTCTGATAACTGTGTGACTAGACCAGCCACATCACCTTTCAGAGATTGTTTCCTTTACCTGTAAAATAAAATGACAGCAGTAAGGACGAGCGCCATGACTGAGTTTGCTATGTGCCAGTCTGTGCTGAGGGTCCTGCCTGCATTCTCTTGCTTAATTCTCATCACGATAGAGAAGTATTTTTATTGTACCCATGAAACACAACACGTGAGACCAGTGTTTCTCATTTGTGCCTCAATAATTCCTGATCCCAAGCCTTTGCTACAGTCTCCTCCACCTGGAGTGCCTCTCTCTCCCTCACCAGCTCTATGTGTTCTTTGGTGTCCAGTACGGGATTCTGACTGTGGGACGTGGCTATCCCCAGACGAGGAAGCTGAGACACAGAGAAGTGAGGTCACATGCAAGTAAGAGACATAGCTAGGAATAGCTAGGAAGTACGGAGCAACTTCCCTACCTTCCTATTTCTATGATATCATCACTTCCCTACTCAAATACCTCCACCTGCCCCTATAAAACAATTCTCCCCTTTTCCACTTTCCAATTTGCTGCCAAAGCCTAACAAAGCCTGCTCAGGCCCTCCTAACCGCCCCATGCAGAAGGTAGGCTAGACAGCACCGCCATTTTATGGATGGGAAAACCGAGACTCAGAGAACTAAAGCAACTTGCCTGAGAATTAGCAACCAGCCAGAGGGGCAACCAGAATTAGGCTGCAATGCTGACTCCCATTCCAGTGCTCTCTCCATCACAGTAAGCTGACCCTCCACGTTTTGAGAAGAGAGCTTTCACCTCTCCTCCCAGTCAAGCCACCTCTAGACAGATGTAAGGATAAAAGAGAAAATGGGGGTGCCTGGGTGGCTCAGATTCTTGATTCTGGCTCAGGTCATGAACACAGGGTCATGGGATCTAGCCCATGTCAGGCTCCATGCTGAGCGTGGAGCCTGCTTAAGATTTTCTCTACCCCGCTCCCCGCCCCTCTCTCCCTCCGCCTCCTCCCCCACTCACGCTCTCTCTCTAAAATAAATAAAATAAAATATATTTTAAAAATTAAAAAAAAAAGAGAGAATGAATCTGAGGCCCACTTGAAAGGAAAGGTCAGGCAAGACTAGTAGGGCATTTTGCAGATAGATAAAGAAATCTGGCCTGATTTGAAAATCATAAAAGAATGAAGTGAATGAACAAGCTATAACAGTTCTGAATCAGATCATCCCCTCGTGACATGCAGGAGACCAGAACAGCTTTCTAAACTCATTAGCTCATCTCATTCGTTTCGGAGGTACCTCTTGCCCTACCATGTGTCGGTAGCCGTGCTGTGCTGAGAGCCAGGCGAGAACTCTGCCCCAGAGGAATCATTACCTGGGTGCTTCCCAGACTCGGGGATTTTACATCCCAGTAAAGTGTTCTCCCCAAATGCGGCCACATTTTGTTATTTGTCAAAGAACATTAAAGAAAAGGAAAAATAAAGCATTACTTTCTACTCTCACCAAAAAATTTAATAAGGACTAATCTCAGAATCTAGCAATTAAAAAAAATTACCTTTATAACTCACCACATTGTTCTAGTTTTCTCCTTAGCCGCAGGCCGATGCAAACTGTATCTAAGTGGGCGTTTGGCAATTCCCAGATGAGTGGGAGAGAGAAAACATCTACAGAAATCATTCAGAGTAGCTATATTCTTTGGGAGTCTTTGGGTTGAGAGCTACATAAAACTATCCTGGCTACCTTAATACAGATTTTTGGGGAAGGGATTTTATTGGTAGATTGGATTCTAGGGATTATGTAGTAGACAGTAGGGTCAACCAACCAACCTACACCTGGCAAGGACAGAAAAACTCCAAAAACAAATAGAATTAGGTCTCTCTCGGTTACACTCTCGCTCTCTGCTTCTCTCTGTTACCGTTCTTCCCTCTCTAGTGGCAGATAGGGTTCCCCCACGTAGCAGAGAAAGTGATGGCTAACAGCTTCCATGTTTCATAACTCATGCCACCATAGACAGATCAATTAACTTCTCAGTTCCAGTAGGGGGGAGGGGAGGGATCCCGGAAAGTGTCTGATTGGCCCAACTGAGCCAGGTGTCTACCCCTGGACCAATCAATTGTGGCTTGGGATTGGTCTGTAAAAACATGGCAGCTTCCATGAAAAGTCATGGTTGGAGTCAGAAGAGGGAAGAAGATCTAGGCCAGAGGGCTGGGCGGAAAATACCATAAATGTCCGTTGTGGAGATGGTAAATGCCCTAATAAAGTGCAGATAAAGTATCACAGGAGTTCAAGGGAAGACGACATGATTTCTAGCTGTGGAGATCAAGTAGACCTTCTTGGAAGAAGATCTGAGCTGAGAATATGTGGAATATACAGAGATTCTAAACGCCATTTCAAATTCAAAGAGAAAAATAACAAGTACTGGTAGAGGAGAAGGTGTCATCTGAAGAAGCTATATATTAATGCTTTACTTTGTCAAGATTTTTATTATTTTTTAAAAATGAGATATAATTCATATATCAAATTTATAAAATATTTTATTATGAAATAATTTTAGACTTATAGAAAGTTGCAAAAGTAGTTCAGAGTTCTGCTAAAGTCTTCACCTTCTGTACCCCTCACCTAGTTCCCCCTAATATTAACATCTTACACGACCTTGATACAACAATCAGAACCAGGAAATTACCACTAATAGAATACTCTCAACTAACCTACAGAGCTTGTTTGAATTTTGCGTTTTACTTTTGCTGTAATCCAGAATCCCACACTGCATTTAATTGCTATGTCTGCTTAGTCTCCTCTAATCTGTGACAGTTCCCCCAATCTCTCTTTTCTCTTGTAACCTTGACACTGAAGAGTGATGGTAAGTCATTTTACAAAATAGCCCTCAATTTGAATGTCTAATGTTTTCTCATAATTGGATCAAGATTATGCATTTTTGGCAAGAATGCCACAGAAGCAATGCTGTACCCTTCTTAGTGCATCATTCAGGGGCTACATTCTGTCAACGTGATTTATTACCAGTGATGTTAACATCGATCACTTGGTTAAGGAGGCATCTGGCAAGTTTCTCTGTTGAAAAGGCCCGTTAGTAATTAGTAAGCATCTTGTGGGGGAGATAGTTAAGACTACACAAAAATATAAATTTCTCATCATTTAAAAAGTGCTATCAAATGTACACTTTCTACTTTTATTCCGCAAACATCAACTGTACACCCACTAAGCACTGGTCCAAGATAATGGCTTGGTTATGTATGGCCCCATGACCTTGCTAGACCGTAGGATCCTTATCTGTAAAATGGGTATAATTCTGTCTTACCACCCAGGGCTGCCAAGGATAAAGGAGAACCATGCTTGTTGAAAGTGTTCTGTAATGCTAGCTGGGATTGTTCATTCTCCTTCTGGGGATCTCCACTTTGTTGTCACTTCCACCTATCATAGGTCTTCATTTCCATCCTGCCTGCATCCATGCCTGCAGGCTTCTGTCTGTTCTCACTGACCAGACTCCCTCAGCCTATTTGCCAAGCCTTATTTGTGATGTCATTTAATAAGTTTTGGAGACAAAAGGTGAGCCCTGTAGAGACTGACAATTTCCTCCAGAATCTCCGTCTATGATTTTGGGAGCTGCCTCAAGGTGTTGAGTGACACCTGGGACCCATGAGTGGCAGGTGGGAGGTCCTTTCTTCCATGATAGAAATAAGTGGAAGAAGTAGGAATTGCCTTCCTCCAATAATGTGTTGGCCCTGAAAAGGAAACTCTCACACCCCACAGAGTATTGAACAAGCTTGGATGGATACTTGTCTCTTACAGAGTGCTCTAACATGGGCATACTTTATTTATTTATGCATTTATGTATGTACGTATTTATTTATTTATTTAGGAGAGAGAGCAGAAAGAGAAGGAGAGAGAGAATCTTAAGCAGGCTCCATGCCCAGTGCAGAGCCCGACATGGGGCTTGATCTCATGATGGTGAGATGACCTGTGCCAAAGTCAAGAGTCAGATGTTTAACAGACTGAACCGCTCAGGCACCCCTAAGATGGGCATACTTTAAACTAACAACTTCATAATGCCAAAGGATGAGCTCACCCCTGACTCAACCTCCTAATTTCTAATTTGAGAACAAGACTTTAGCAAACCAAGAAAGAGGCACAAGTTAAGCAGCAGGTCTCACTAACCTTAGCTGTCACAGTCACTCCTGAGGTTGAATTCAACCTTTTTAATTTTTTTTCCTAATGTGTATTTATCTTTGAGAGAGAGAAAGAGAGAGAGTGGGAGTAGGGGAGGGGCAGAGAGAGAGGTAGACACAGAACACGAAGCAGGCTCCTGGCTCTGAGCTGTCAGCACAAAGGCCAACATGGGGCCTGAACTCACGAATCACGAGATCATGACCTGAGCCAAAGTCAGATGCTTAACTGACTGAACCACCCAGGCGCCCCGAATTCAGAGACAGGAGCCATCCATGCTTGGCTGGTTCTTTGTACCAGATCATTATGAAGATCAATATGATAGAGGTGAAAGTGCTTTGGAACTTCTATAGGACCAAGTCAATATTGCTTCTCCCATTCTGTCCCAAGGGCAGCTTTTAGGAACTGCTTGCCCAGAGCAAAGAAGGAAGGTTGAAGCCCCCCAGCTCTGACATCAGCACAAGCCACCCTCTGCTTTCCTTCAGCCAAGCAGATGAGCACCTCAAAATAGAGCCCTCTAAGTAGAGACCCAGCAGCATACAGGGCATTCCCTCCAGGGTCCTGAGTAGTTTCCTCCCGGACAAGTCACAGGCCTGGGTTTCTCCCACCCATCTAATATCTGGGACGCAAGCTGCTGTAGGTTGGACTCTTGCCCCACTAGCACCTGGGCAGGAATTTGTGGCAGCAGCTCAAGACTATTTGCCAATTTTATTGACCTCTCCCCAGTGGGCCCTGGGAAACACCATCCCCTGTAGACCACTAAGGCAACAGCTCTTCTCAAAGGCCTAGTAACCTTCAGGTTTAAGAGACTTCCTCCCTCCTATCACCCAGTTGATTCTTGTGGCCACAAACCCAAACTACAATGTGCACATGAATCCCCCTGAAAATCTTTTTGCAATA